TTTTGTTCGAATAAACAGTAACTGACTATGATCTTTAATTAGCATCATTTTTAAAATGATCTTGAACAGCTCTGCCTGCCTTGTAATTGCAATTTTTACATCTTTAATTTTGTTAATATAAATAATAAATTATTGTAGCTACTTAGCAACTAAATATTTTGCAAAACAATAGCAGTGTTTTATTTAGCATTTTTTTTTTTTACGGATATGCGCACTCGCAAGGAAATGTCCTATCACGCTCGAGAAGCGGCGAGTGCGCGGAAATGTCGGTGTATGTTGGTCTTGAAACGGTTCAGGTTGTAACCTGTAGGAAAAACCGTCGCAGGGAGTTTATTCCACAGCGATGCTGTTCTCCAGAGATATGAATTCTGATATAATGAGGTTCTTGGTGCCTCTAGTTTGACAGTAAATTCATGGTTACCGTCTGTTTGACGGGTTCGCCTGGTAGGCGCTACTCTCGGTGGAATCATACGTGCCAACTCTTCAGAGCATTTTCCGTGATAGTACCTGTAGAAGAGAGATAAATCGCCCACAGATCTGCGATGTTCGAGACCATCCAAGTTACGAGTAAGTGCGGGGTCATTGATCAGCTTGATAGCTCTTTTTTGCACGGTGTTCAAAAGCATTAAGGTATTTTTGGGTGCTGCACTCCATATATGTGAGCAGTACTCCATAGTTGGTCGAATCTGGGCTTTGTAGAATGTCAGCAATTGGCTTGGTGTGTACAGATGTCTTGTACGAAATAGCACCCCCAGCTTTTGGGACGCCCTTTTAGCAATATCTGCCACGTGACTGTGCCAAGACATGTTGGTCTCTGCAGTAACCCCCAAGATGTTCAACTGACTCTGTAATGTGACAGCACTTCCAGATAGCATGATGTTTGGCTCACCGGTGCTGGTCTTTTTTGAAAACAGAGCTGCTTGGGTTTTCTGCGCGTTGAACTGTACAAGGTTTTTGTTACCCCAGTCCTCTATTATCTCCAGGTCGTATTTATCTGCGATATTTGAGTTAGTTTAAGATGATGGAATTCACGTGCGGAAAGACCTGTGGGTGGTATGAGTGAGGAGACTACATTGCCATCGTCTGCAAAGCAATAAAGTGGATTTACTGTTTTATCTATGAGGTCATTTATGTAAATCAGAAAAAGAGTTGGCGAAAGGATTGCTCCCTGTGGCACACCAGCATTTATTTGGTAAGAGTTGGAGTTCTGGCCATCCAGTGCAACATAAATGGATCTGTCCTTTAGGTAACTTTCAAACCAAGTGCAAAGTTTCGGCGATAATCCCATTGCTTTGAGCTTGTTGAGCAGATTTTCATGCCAAACTTTGTCGAATGCTTTAGATAGATCGAAGGCAATTGTTCTTGTTTCACCCCGCAACTCAATCGCTTTTTGCCATAAGTGAATGACGTATGTAAGTAAATCTCCAGTTGACCTATATTTTCGAAATCCGTATTGCTTATCGTTGATAATTTTGTACTTTTCCAAGTACTTGGTTAGGTAATTGTTCACAACTCTTTCCATTACTTTTGATATCACCGGAAGTAGAGCAATTGGTCTATAGTTTAACGGATCTGTCTTTTTTCCTTTCTTTGGAATGGGCTGTACTGCGGCAGACTTCCATGATGATGGATATACTCCTTGCCTGTAAGACAAATTGAATAATTTTGCGAAAGTTGGGGTGAGTTCGTTGGCGCATTTTTTGAGTACTATTGCGGGAATGCCATCCGGACCCATTGCTTTGTTTGTATCTAGCTTCTTAAGGGATTTTCGTATTTCTCTGTGACAAAAGGGTACCTCTGGCATACTATGGGAAAACCTTTCAATGAACGGTGGAGTTTTTCCGTTTGGCACTGTTAGGTTGGAGTTGGAGGAAAACATTTGGGCCAGCATATTGGCTTTTTCCTCTGATGTTGTGGCTAAGTGATTATTTTTATCTGTAAGTGGTGGTATGGATGACTTGGTGAAGTTAGATCCAACAGCTTTTGCAAGAGACCAAAAGGACCTAGAACTACTTGGACAATTCAGCAACCTGTTTTTTATTCTTTGATTGTATGTTTCTTTAGCGGAGTCAATAGTAATTTTGCAACTATTTCTGGCTTCTATAAATTCTGTGTGGTTTTGAGCGGTTTGTTGTCGTTTCCAAAGGTTATATGCTCTGTGTTTTTTCTGTACAGCCGTTTGACACTGGCTGTTGAACCAAGGTTTTGCATTAGCTCTACGTTTAGTTGTATGTGGGATATATGCATCTATTCCAGATAAGATTACTTGTGTTATTTCATTACAGCAAAGCATTTTCATATCCATATTGGGTAGGTAGTATGAAAAATTTATATAGGTAAGTATCAGTAATAAGTGAAAGTATTACTTAGGTAGAACGGTACCTACATAATCATTTAAACAAGTACTTTCGTTCTGACAATATAACTAATATATAATTTAAGTAAATAAATATAATATAACATTATACATATTATATTTTGGTTTTTATTTTTTATTTTATGTTGAAAAAGTGCAATTTTTTTTTATACATCACATTTCACGATTTCCACATTTCGACATTTTTACATTTAGTATTAATTTCCAATCAAAACTCTACGCCACTGGGGTTCAAAACTGACAGAGGGTGTACAATGTTGCCAGCTGGTTCTAAGATATCTGTCTTACTCTCTCGCACTCACAGATTTTTTCAAAACAATAATAGTCCGAACTTTTATAGGATTTATGAATGAAACATTTTGTATCCTGAGTTGTAATGTCTTTGGTTTTCCCCATTTTTGCAGAGGTTTCCATTGTGCAACTTTGAAAACATCAGGTTTCAGGCCTAAAATAAAATAGGATTAGAATAGGAAAATGTAAACAAATATTAGTAGGGTTAGGAAATTGTTTAAATCAGACAATGAACTTAAGTCAATTGTGTCACGAAAATTTGAATATTGAGTATTGCATGCGCAATATGCATTAATTCAAACTGTCCAAAAATAAATGAAAAATCCCTTAAAATTCGGTTCGTGTAACCAGAATTTCTACTGTTGGAGAAATCTTTCTTTTTCTAGAATCACGCAGAAGAGAAACCACGTTATAGTTTCTTCTGGGGCATTTTGGCCAATTTGAGTGAATATTTGGGAAGTAATTGAGTCTCAAATGGTGGATATTATTCTTGTATAGCATTACAGCAAGTATTTGCTAATTTAACAAGATTTCAGTACGTAAAAACCCAAATTCTGGAAAATAAGTTTGATTCGTGTCACGTGTTGAGTGTCGAAAAGGCCAATCCACATTGGTAAGTCCCTATTATTCATCATTTTATTTTGTATTCTGATCCCTGTTAGAGTTTTATGTCCTCAAAAACGTAATTGATTGCCGTACTTACCTCAATTCTTGTTGAAATCGAGTTTTTATAGTGTGAACTCTCTCTTTTAGGCCTTTTTATATTGGGTAACGTTACATCCCTTTCTGCTGTTGCTGTCGTTAGATGCACAAAGGCACCTGATTGCTGAATTGCTGATGCTCAATCCTGAACCTGATAGATTGCTTGTGGAGCTTTTGGGGCCTGTGAATCTCAATCGTCCCCCAAGAGGTTTCTAGTAGTATCACTCCATCAAATAACTACATACTCAGGTTTGCGTATTGTTGTTCCGTTTTGGGAACCATCCACCCCGTCTGTATTAAGGGTTTCACCATCTCCTTGGGAGCTGGAGCCTTTCACCTGCAACCACTTGTACCTACTCTTCAATATTATAGCCAGTTGAATTACCACTACCTGTCTTAAAAATTACCTTATAATCCTATAGGTTAAAATTAAGTTAATTTTACGTTTACTTACCATATCATTTTGATTTGCTGGAACATTCCAAGTAGTCCAAATTAGTCCCAAACGTCTAACGCTCACAATCCGCAATTAGTGGATCTGTACACCAGGTTAAAATGGATCCATTTACGACGGTATTTTTAGTATTTTGGTACTGATTCAAGGGGCGTGAACCGTACTTAATTATCACCCTTCACTTATTTGAACTCAATGAATGTATTTAGGAAATTAATTATAACTTTTGATCACCATGATGAACCAGAAGGTAAAGTAAGATTTGGGAACTGAGACTGTTTTTCGTATTTCTGGGTAGGTAGATATTTAGTTTTTTTTATTGATTATGTAATGCATTTATGGCCAATTTTTTCACCGTCTAATTTAAGTTAACTGATAGATTCTTCATTATTTTTAAAAATCATGAAATAAATAATTCAAATTTAGTGCTTATCAGCTGTTGGCTGCCATTTAACAATAAATAATTCTTTTGGCGAATAAAAATCATGCACCAGAGTGAATTTTAAGCGTTTTCATTTCATTTTATTTCGTGATCAGTGTTGCCGGACCTGAAAATTCTCATTACCCTTTCCAATCTCACAAAATACCCAATTTTACCCGCACATTGAAACTGAAAACTGCGAATTGAATGTATTCGCATCTTTTTCTAAAATTATGTAAAATAAAAGGATAAAGACACATTTTGCACTGATTCTGCAAATGGAAATCGCTATCAGTTCAATTTAGTTTGGCGTCTACACAGTTGCACTTTCAATTTCAATGTGAAAATCTGGCCCGCGGATTCAGAATTTCAAAATATTATTTAAAAATAAAAAATAAAAGAAGAATAGTGCTGTATTTCCAGATTCCCCGATTTTACCCACATCAATATTTTACCCGAATACTAGTCGGAAATACCCGATTTTTGGGGAATTACCCAGCCAACGGCAACACTGTTCGTGATGCTCATTTAGGTTTTTGCAGTGCTTCCGACGGTGAAAAAATTTTTATCTAAAAATTTGTTTGCAATTCAAGTAAAGATTAATTTCGTATGTTTATAGTAGGAAATAGCTATTTACCTAACAAGTGCGGAAAATGAATTCTTCCGCACGTTGTACGCGTACTTTCTCTTTTTGAAAATTGGTATTTTTGTGAATTTTGCACCATTTGAGGAAAGATGCGTATTCTTTTTCATACCTTTTTTTCGACCTATCGGGTACTAAGTTTTTAACATTCTCTGCAGCTTGAAGTATGCCTGCTGGAACCCCATCGGTGATATTTTCATTCGTTTCTTCGTCTGTACTCATTTCTATCGATTTAAATCACCAAAATGACTTGAAAAAGAACGAGAGTTTTTGACAATAATAAATAAATGCGTAAACAACTGGTTAGTTACACATGGCTACACATCTGTAAGTTACACCATAGCAACCACAGATCAGCAACCACAGCAACCATGTATTTCCATAAACATCACAGGGTACCGTCGGATTTGAAATGTAATGCCATCATCTTGTTGAGGAGTAAAAGCCAGCGTCTCTGCAACTGCCGCCGCTGCCGCCGCCGTTGACCAATCATCAGCTAGCATCTGCCAATATAATTTGAATAGCGTCAACAAAAATTAGGTACATGTTTTTAACAATTTTGACATATCACTGTGGAGAAAAATTTGACGCATCGTGCGGGAAAATCGATTTTCCGCACGCTCGTAGAAAAAATATTTTACGAAAAGGCTCATGTGGATGTTTCCACTACACTCCACGGAAATTCAAGTGAAGCAACCAAATGTTGTTTTTCTTTGGATCCATAGTGTTTTTCTGGGATAAACAACTCTCTTGGGTTATTCAATACGTATTAAGCAAATCTTAGAGTGTTCTCGCAATCCTTACAGCGAAATTAGGTTCTTTACTAAATATACCGCATAATAACTAAATATTCGCACAATTTTCCAAGGATCAATAGTTGCATTAATGGAGTGAACAATCCCGTCAAAACAAGGAGCCCTCTCTTATTTCGAGATCTTTTTTAAATGTCAGAAAATATTTAAGCCCCTCCTAAGGGTTTCGAAAATTAAGGGATTTTCTCTGACAAACTATGAGCGGTGTGCGTTCCCGCAGCGTCAATTTGGCCATTTCCCACACACGTCACACGTTTTTATTGCTGCAACGACTGTGTGCGGTTAAACTTGTAGAGCAAACTGCAGGACATTTCCACAAAAAAACTCAGATTGATGTCTTTCGGGAAGTTTTGGCAGTGCGCGAGTTGTACTTGAAGATGGGTGTATTAGCTTGAGTTTAAGAAGGTTCTATAGACGCTGCTTCAACTTTGAAAGTAGACGGTAAATTGTTGATGCTCTCTTCGGTAGATATAAAAGTTCATTTTGGGATTCCAGCAATAGATGTGGTTTTCGTTCCTAAAGGCTGTATAATTACAAGCTTTTATTTAGCTTCACATGTTCTGTCTAACTATCAAATCTTGTGAAGCGTTTTTGACATACTTCCCATTATCCGATTTGGATGAAATTTGGTTCACACATAGTGGTCCCATGACAATACAACATAAAAAAAATATCCTCCCACCCCTACCCCCACCCCCTTCTATAGAAAAATGTGTTTTTGACACACTTCCCGTTATCCGATTTGGATAAAATTTGGTATACACATAGTGGTCCGATGATAATACAACAATAAGAAAAAAATATCCTCCCACCCCTACCCCCACCCCCTTCCATAGAAAAAATTATTTTTTACACACTTCCCGTTATCCGATTTGGATGAAATTTCGTATACATATAGTGATCCGATGACAATACAATATTAAGAAAAAAATATCCTCCCACCCCTACCCCCACCCCCTTCTATAGAAAAATGTGTTTTTGACACTCTTCCCGTTGTCCGATTTGGATAAAATTTGGTATACACATAGTGGTCCGATGATAATACAACAATAAGAAAAAAATATCCTTCCACCCCTACCCCCACTCCCTTCCATAGAAAAAATTGTTTTTGACACACTTCCTGTTATTCGATTTGGATGAAATTTGGTATACATATAGTGATCCGATGACAATACAATATTAGGAAAAAAATATCCTCCCACCCCTACCCCCACCCCCTTCCATAGAAAATGCGGTTTTGACACCCTTCCCATTATTCGATTTGGATGAAATTTGGTATACATATAGTGGTCCGATGGCAATACAACATTGAAAAAAAATATCCTCCCACTCCTACCCCTACCCCCTTCCATAGAAAAATGCGTTTTTGACACACTTTTCATTATCCGATTTGGATGAAATTTGGTATACATATAGTGGTCCGATGACAATACAACAATAAGAAAAAAATGTCCTCCCACCCCTACCCCCACCCCCTTCCATAGAAAAATGCGTTTTTGACACACTTCACTGCAAATGACTTATAAAATTTGGTATATGCATAAAGGTCCGATGGCAATACAGCCCAAACAAAAAATATATTTCTACCTCTTTTTTTTTAAGTCACAAGCTTTTATAAAATGCACTAAAAATTAAAAAATAATTTTCCAGCATTCTGATATTATCATAATAATAAAAGCGATGGCCGCAAATCAAAGCATAAGTTAATCTAAATTTGTGATCTAAACACTTAAAGAATATTCAACATAACAGGTCATCAAAGATATGTTTGATGTGCCGCAATGTTATGCCATTGCCATACCTATGTCAGAGAAATGCTGGGGTATCTTGGGTGAGGTTGGGTGGGTTTGGTCCCTTGGTATTTTTCTGCTAGACAGATTCTTGCAAATAGTGATATTTAATTGATGAGTCGGCCATCGTTTTTATTATTATGATAATATCAGAATGCTGGAAAATTATTTTTTAATTTTTAGTGCATTTTATAAAAGCTTGTGACTTAAAAAAAAATTACCAATTTATTTTATTTTCAGTTTTATCGATGCTGTTATTTTTTGATGTCGATGGTAAGTTTAGGGGCAAAATATCAGATGAAGTGGAGGGCATATTTAATGTTGAACTAGAAGAGGCATTCAATAACAATGCAGCTGCATCTCCATCATCTACCGTTTCATCAGCGTCGGTAACTTCAGCGGGTAAAAAAATCATCAACAGAGAAAACATCAATATTGCAATCACTGATCACCAGTTTCACTAAAACCTTTTAGGGCATTATGGGGAACAACATAGTGATGCCCAAAAGAGTCTCTTTCTCGAGAATCTTGCATGGTCTCGTCTCGTTTGCGAGACGATACTCGAGACAGTACTTGGACAAGACGAGGCGAGACTTTTATTGGTCTCGTCTCGAATCTCGTGAGAGACTCGCAAGTGAATATTTCTGCGTACAGATAAAGTACACAATATATAAACATATACAGCAGCCGGACTTTCGCGAAACCGTTATCCGCTTACCCCAATTCATTACTTACCCCTTTCTTCAGAACGCTGTTGGCAATGGCGTATATAACGGTAGGTGAATATTTTATATTTTTATTTTATATTTTCACATTTAATATTTTATAATTACATAATATTTTTACACGTTTTTCTACTTTTGATTTTTCTTTTTGCTACCCAACGCCAACGCAAGCGGATGAGTTCTAATGTAAATCATTTCTGTTTGTATTATTTTTTGAAGTACAATTGGAGTAATTATCGAAATATGCAGCCTTTTCCTGCCAATCCTTTTATTAGGTCATATACAACCCTAGTACCCAAATTTTTTTCCACAACTTGGCCCTCTTTGCCGGTGTGAAGAAATTGACAAGCGTAGCGATCATCTGTCCTTATCCATACTTTGTAACCTCGTTTTATTGATTTATTTGGCATATAATGCTTCAAAGGGGTACGTCCTTTAGAGCGAATCGTGGATTCATCAATGGCCTGATTATGACTTGGGTCTAAAGAACTGCGATAGGTTTCTGAAAGCTTCTCTAGCAAGGGACGTATTTTATATACATAGTTTGTCAAAAATTGGAGAGTCCCGACCTGGCTGTACTGAATTGTCATTTACATGAATGTGTGATAAAAACCATGAAAATCTATCTCTTGTAATGACGGAGCTCACAAATTGGTCTCTGGGTAATTTATTTAGGCCTATCACCAAATTGATAGCAATAAAACCATTTAGCTTTTTTAGCATTGTAGGTGCAAAGGCGTGTTTATTGCCACCTGCTTTTTGCAGTGCATATAAGTTTGTTTGGAAAACCATATGTTATAAAAGATGTTGCAACCACCCCCTAAAAAACAAAAAAACTTCTATTCCTAGTGATTCCACTGCGGAACCACGAAATATTTTCTATTAAATTAATAATACTTACCTAAATATTTCATTCCATGATTACAAACTATTGTTTTTACAGCAAAATTTTGTAATTTTTTTCCAAAAACGTCATTTCCTCTACGGAGCTCATTCAATAATTTCTATTCGTCCTATGCTCCTTTCTTCAGTCTTTTGCTGTTGTCGAGTCTCTCGGTCCTGTCTTATTTCCTCAATGTTATCCATTGTTTCTTTGGTGTTCTTTTTTTTTAATTGTTTTGAAATCACGCCTTGTTAGCTTTGCTGTCAATGGTGTGAATGTCAAGGAACTTGCAACTGCTACTGGCTGCACATCGTGTTTTTTTGCAAAAATGGCATCAAATTCTCTCAGCCACTAAAAGTCCATAGGAGCAAGACCATTGGGAATTATTATCTCTGATTTGCATACATTGCTGTTTCAATTTATTGAACTTAGTTTTTATCTCATCTGTTGTGAAATGAAAGCTGTCTCCAGACATATTTTCTTGTTTCTTTTTCCACACTTCATCAGCTCTTGTAGGTACAAGGGCTTAAAATTTGTGACCTGTTTTCTACGAAATGGCGCAGGAGGTTTTTTACAGCTGCGCCTAAGCATTTTTTTTTTTTTTTTTTGAGAGAAAATATTACTTTAAAAATTGCGTTGACATCGTTAAAATAGCTATTTATACAATAAGTTACGAAATGAGCGTCTTTTAGGCACGCGACGTGAAAATTGTCCAACGAGGCAAAGCCGAGTTGGACAACACGTCGAGTGACTAAAAGACATCGTTTCGTAACGTATTGTATACAAGATTTTTTCTACTGGCATTTTATAATAAAAAAACACAATTTTATTTCATGTGAATAAGTCGATTACACCCAAAATCTTTGTTACCTGTTTTTACTTGACACCTGACACTTTTCATGCGATTTTCTTTTCAAAATTTGACATCAATAATTAAAATCCTAGAAAGTAGGTAATAACACAAAGTTCTGTTTTGAGTAACCCAAACATTCGATTCAGTAATTCCATTTTC